AAAGCTAGATGGCTTCCATATTAAAACTGCATGCAGACATGTATGCTATTGCAGTTACCCATGGAGCTGTGTCTTTAACAACCACTTACACCACCAAACTCCCCAGGCACTAGACAAAAAAAAAAAAAAAAGTTGTTGTTTTTTTTGTTTGTTTTGGTTTTTTTGTTTTGTTTTGTTTTTTACAGGTGAGAAGAACAACATGCCCAGTCCCAGAAACAATGGCCTGGTACAAAGAAAAGGAAGCACTGAGACTCTTAACATGGACAAAGCAGCCAGGGAGCTGTTTGACTCCTACTCCACATACCACAAAGTTTCCTGGCTGATAGTGGCATCTCCATTGCCTGCGGCTGGGTTTCCCCCCAGCCTCAACATTTTGGATCTTCCCTCAGGAACAACACCAAGGCTTGCTCTTACTCGCTCCTTAACTAATCAGCTCTGAGTCATAAATCAGCAGGACTTCCAAACTACTCAGGGGATTTTTTTCCTGACTTGCTGATAAAGGCAGGTATTTTTTGTTGGTTCGTTTTCGTTTGGGGGGGGGGGGGGGGGAGGGGCTGTTTTTTGTAATATTCACCTGACATCCTACTTTTCCAAGTGCTTTGCAAATTTGGGATGACAATGGGATGCTTTACAATGGACTAGATTACCCCTGAGGTCCCTTCTAGCTCTGTGATTATAGTCATCCCATATTACAGAGTAGGATGGCGAGACAAGAGAGGAAACTTATCGCTGAAGGCAACATTAAAAAAAAAAAAAAGCAGCAGAGCCAAGAGCAGGAGAGACTAAGCACTAACTTTTAAAGATGTAATTTGCAGAGAACAACATGGACTTCAGATAAATAAGGGAAAAGAAGAGTACAAAGAAGTCTTGCCCTTGTTGACCTTCACAGCATCAGCTAGTAGCTTATTCCTAAAGTGGCTTTAAAGAAACCCCTCAGAATATAGGTTTAGCCATAGAATTCTTCTTGTTCTAAGATACTGGGAAAACACACCCTCATTTTACATGTATACATGCTCCATCTATAAAAAGAAAAAAATCCATATGATTTTATTCCTGAGAATTAGCCGTGTTTCTGCTCTGATCAATGGTTTTGACTGCATGCTCTCTATAGCGACATGCTCATTTACAGGCAGTAAGTGCTGGCTCAGCTGTCTGGATTTAAATGAAAAAAATCCTGGCCCCTTAAAGAAAACCCTGTGGTAGGGTTTGATTACTTGATTACTCAAGATATAAACAGAGACACCAGCCAGGGTACAATTACAGCGAGAATGCAGAATGGTCACCTGATTTGGCAGGGACTGGGAACAGCAGAGAAGAGTCCTGGAGAGTCAACACAGTGGGTTGAACATAGAGCTATCAGCAGGTTGCTGCTGATTTTAATTTGTTCTCACCCACAGAAGAAGGCTGCACTAGTGATCAGGACTCAATGCATGAACGGTGTAGAATCAATGGCTTTCTGAATAACTTTTGAAGGAAGTCACTTTGTCAGAACAAGGCGCCCAAATCCAAAGGACAGGCAATCCTTGAAACTTCTGCCTACCCCTCTCAGTGCTGAAGTCTTCCCCAGTAAACACCCCCAAGCAGGTATTGCTTCGCCACGTGTCCGCAGCTGCTTTAGCCTTGATAGCATGAAGCAGCTCAGTGCTGCCTCACAATCAAATCCAACCAGGATCCTCAAACGAAGCATTTCTCTGCTCAGCTTCCATGAAACCTGACCTGGCAGACTACTCAAAGCACACACCAGCAGGACCAGAGGCCATGCAAAACAACAGCTGCTTTCATTTAGAAACACAGCCAGAGGAGAGGAGCTCCCACACACCAAAGCCCCAGGATCAGAGCATTTCTTGACAGGGTAGAAGATGCAGGTTCAATTCCCTTCTCAGTCTGAAGGAGGGCAAACCCACAGTTTCCACCAGGTGACCAGCTCTTCTGGTGAGGACAACCAAATTCCTCTGTGGAAACTGTTGTCTTCTGCTAAGTGACATTATAGATGAATTAGGTCAGGAAGAGGGAGAGAAAGTAGACACAACCCACTACGCTGGTAGTTAGGGCACATGCCCAGCTACAGGTAAGGCACAGAAGGAACTGAAACTGGGTACCGCATGCAGTGGACCAGTGCCTTAACCACAAGGGAAGAGCATAAAGGTTTCCCTCTTACTTGTGCCAAGATGGAGGGGTGACCCCTACTCACATTTCAATTGAAAGGCCACAGGCACTCAGGTCCAGGAGCGGGCTCTGGGCTTTGAATCCCAAGAGGGTATAGATATATATCTCTCTGCAGCCAACAGTCAGGTGCTTACACAGCTAAGGGGCAGGAGTTCAGATACACTCCTCTCCAGTATTCTTTACAGAATAGCTTAGACAGCTCCCTACTCAGCACACAGCCCATCATCCAATTCTGTGTGGCTGACCCCCACATACTATACAGCAGGCCAAGACATCCAAATGGGGCTGTAGATTCCACTCCAGGAGCCAGACATCCAATTCCCTTTGTGGCTCTAGCTCTTGATCTCTCTCTGCCTCAGGCCCCATCTCTGTGGTGGGGTCAATAACCTCCCTGTGAGCTAGAGCAGTATTTCTCAACCTGTGGGTCGCAGCCGAAAAGTGGGTCACAAGAATATATGAAAGGGTTGTGAACAAGCTTGGCTGGTCAACCAAGATGAACCTTGGTGGTCAACCTGGCTCCATGGATAGCATCTAGAAGATCAGAGAAGGGACAGCAGCAGAAGGTAGATCAGGAGATTGGGCAGAGGAAGGGGACTGCAGTGCCAATCAGGGAGAGTACTAGATTAATTTTTGGCATGCCTACCTAAAAGGTTGGCCCTCGCTGTGTACCTCATTTTGTCCCTTAGTCTCTCTGATTTTGGTAAGTCAGCATGGGACCTTAAACAGCTTCCAAAATTTCTGGGTACATCATGGTCCCTAGCATTGCCCTACCTCAGCGGTTCTCAGCCTTTTTTGTACCAAGACCCATTTGTAAACATCAATGGCCAGTCCCAACCCAGTACCCCTCACTCCTGACCCACTGCGCCCAGACCCCCAATGTGTGGGACAGGGGAGGTTGCGCGTGGGGCATGGGGGGGAACTCAAGCAGCCCCTCACAGGTTGGAACCCTGCCAGCCTTCAAGGGAAAAGCCACGGTATCCCACATTTTTCTCCTTCCCTCCTTTAAAGGTTGCAAACAAACTTAAAAAATGGATTCTCCTTTAAAGAAGAAAAATGTGGGATACCAGGGCTTTTCCCTTGCAGGCTGGCCATTGATGTTTGGCCTGATTGGGCAGAGGAAGGGGATTGCAGTGCCAATCTCCTGCTCTGCCTTCTGATGTTGTCCCCTCTCTGATCTTCTAGATGCTATCCATGGAGCCAGGTTGACCACCAAGGTGCATTAAAATAGAGCAGGGGTGTCAAAGATGTGGCCTGCAGAGCCATGGGGTCTGGCGAGTTTGATTACCCCTGTAATAGTTTCTAGAAATACATCAGAAGAGAAGACAGAGGAAAATATGGTCCCTTTTCTTACTGAGGAAAAAAAATGAGCAACAACTGACTGAAAGAAGACTTTCAGTAGCTTTTTTGTTTCAGTTGTCTTCATAAAAGAGGTTAATTGCAACCAGATCCTTGTTACTTTAACAAGGATCTTTATCAAGTGAGTAGGAGTACAGGCTTGGATTAAAGGAAAGTTTAAAGAATATAGATAAGTTCAAGGACATCCTGTCACACTTTTAGCTTCTCTCATTCC